CTTTCAAAAAGCCTTACCCTTTTTTTTTTTTTTCCTGAAATGACTTTGGATCATATATATGTATATAGACTTTTCCCCTCCCCCGCAAAACTAAAAGTATATAAACCAGAAATTTAACAGTGATTATTCTGAGATCGGAGAATGTTTTCTTCTTTTTTCTTTTCTATATCTCCCAATTTTTCTACAGATTTTTCCTACAATTTTTCTACTGAAAAGCAGGAAAAACAGAAAAAAACACTTTTAATGATTACTTTTTAGTTTAATTTGAATGAAATCTTTCCTAGGGTTGAGTCAAGGTGTTTTCCTCAGTTGAGAGAATGGACTTTGTTAAGCGTTAGCAGTTCATAATTCTTCTTCCTTGACAAACGATGAATAACGTGTGGTTACTTTAACACCGTGTTTCACTATGTTGGAAAACGAAACCAGGCCCAGATTTCTTTAGAATGAATGTAAATTCTACAAAAGCAGTAATTTAATTTTCTAACTCACTTTAATGTCCCTTCGACATCATTAGTATAATCACAATCCTCACTTTCTTTGAGAGCAGCGAACCAACTAATTCTTTAAAACTGGGCCTCGATTTTAAAAGGCTCCCAAACCTTGAGATAGTTGGCTGGGCAAAGTCAACATGTGACTATTTGAATTTCTAAACTAAAGGGTCCACAGAGTGTTAGGATTCTTTCTTCTTATTTTGTAAAGGAATCTTTATTCCAACTCAGATTCATTTTTCTTCAAATCAGCTGCAAGAGAGTGAACAAACTTTGCTGCAAATCAATGCCCTGACAGTTATATTTCCCTGAGATAATTGCGTACTGCTTTGGAGTTTCCTTTTCCCCTCTGTTTCCTTTTGTTTTGACAACAAGATTCTGGGAAAACAATATACAAATGATAACTATGCTGTCATGAGTATACTGAATTTTAAAAATAAATAACTGTCGACCCCAAAAGCTTCCAGGAGCCTATGGAGTGAATTCTTTCTCCAAACTGTTCTCAAACCAGATGTGGAAATGTTTAGCTAATCCCCTCCCCATTCCCCACGCAAAGAGTTCATATGTGTCTCTAACGACATCAGAGGAGATGAAGAGGCAACAATCTGTCTGCTTTCAAGGAGATTTGTGTTACACGTCTCAACTCACTCACCAACATCACAAAACTAATTTACTTCTCTCTTAAAAAGTCTCTTTTTTTCCCTGAGATTAAAAATGCTCTGTGTTTAGACCAATATTCAATCTCTTTCTTGTAAGACATTAAGAAATAGAGTTCATATTCCCAGAATGAAACGTTTCATGTTTTGTTTTGTTTTTTTTAAAATGTAAAGGATGTATTAAGAATTAGGCTTATTAGGGAATTTTTTTTTAAGGGGAAGGAGGAAAACTTTAAAAAAAACGAATGGAAAATGTATATGCATAAACCACACTTAGAAAAACAGAAAGCTACTGTACTCTGTAGCTGCAAGGAAAGCAAACATTTTGCATCCAGGTGTCATTAGCAGCCCTGGTTTCGCTGGCTTCCCTATAGCTCAGTTCAGGACTGTAGGTACCAATAGCCCTGCTTGGCTATACAAAGGCGTCGAAGTTATGAGCTTTGCAAGGATAATTTGCAATCAAGCCAAAATGGGGCTATGGTAATGCAAACCCTGAGACCTGCTTTCTAACAGCCCAGCTGCCTCTGGGAAGCCCGACAGTAGTCCCAGGGTGAGCGCTCCCTTCTCTGCAGTTATTTCTTCCCCAGTCCTCAACTCCCTCAGCTCCAGGATGCTGGGCTCAGCCCCAACTATGGCTAAAAATACCTCCAGTTTGGCGCAAACTGCACAACCCTCTCTTCTGGCGCCCCCTTCCCATCTCTAGCCCCTCAACCCTCTTTCTCAGAGCCAACCCTCTCCCTCCCCATCCAAGTCCAAGGTCCTATTCTGCCAACACATCTCAGCTGGATGTTAGAAAAGCCAGCTGATTTGATGAGTTTACACTGTGTTGTGAATGACTTATAACCATCCCTCAACACACACCCCCACACACACCCCCACACACACCCTCTACCTTTCCCTGGGAATTCAGGCAGCAGGGAAGGGAGGCTGCCCAGTTCTGACAACCTGTGCTCAGCAAAAGGGAGCAACTCCCCAAGAGTGGCATTGAGCTAGGAGTTAGCAAGCTCATTAGAAAGTGCCTTCTGCTCTCCCCTGATCTCCCAACTCCTCCCTCCCACCTTAGAGATGCAGTCTTAAACATGGGTCCCACTGACTTCATTTTTCAGTTTTATCTGAGCTCAAAGGTATGTTGTCACACACACTTATTGCTCCAATCTTGTGGCAATCTCTCCCTGGCTACAAGAAAATCAGAGGAAACCGATTCTGTACTGAATTTGGAGATTTGTGCTAAATAAACCCCCAAACTCAGTGATGTTACTAAAGCCCTTCCTTCAAGACTGATTCGGGGCTTCCCTGGTGGCGCAGTGGTTAAGAATCTGCCTGCCAATGTAGGGGACACGGGTTCGAGCCCTGGTCTGATCCCACAAGCCGCGGAGCAACTAAGCCCGTGAGGCACAACTACTGAGCCTGCGCGTCTAGAGCCTGTGCTCCGCAATAAGAGAAGCCACCGCAATGAGAGGCCCGCGCACCGCAATGAAGAGTAGCCCCCGCTCGCCACAGCTAGAGAAAGCCCACGCACAGAAACGAAAACCCAACACAGCCAAAACTAACTAACTAACTAACTAAATTTATATATATATAAAAAAGACTGATTCAGTGCATGTAATTCAAAAAGTGGGTGTGAGAGTGGGAGTGAGGTAGCCTAAAATGATTCGTTGGGTGACAACTGTAATGCTTCTCAGAGAATTTGGGCTTTTTATCATTCTCTTTGGATTAACCGTGAGAAGGAGGAGGAGAGACAATAGGAAAGATGCCCGAGGGATGGAGAGGAAGTACGTGGCTAACTCCCTGCACAGGAGCGCACCCTTAAACTTGGTGTCAGTTCTGGGGTTTGAACAACAAAATTGGAGTGGAAGGATTGTTTCCCTGACCTATTCCAGGAACTACTTAGAGGGGAGGTTTTTGTTCAGGGCAAATAGGTCCAGGCTGTGAGATCATGTGAAGGAAGGAGGAAAGAGGGAGAGAGAGGGAGAGAAAGGGACTCCTAAAGCAAGCTCAGGGCAAGGTGGTCTTCCTGAGACCAAGGCAATAGTGCAGCAGCGATGGAGTGATGATCTCAGCTTCCAGAAGGAACCTCAGCAAATATGCATCATTCCAGAGCAAGCGGTTTGTTTATTTAACTGTTGAGTCATTATCCAGGACCAGCTGGCATCCGAATTAACTCGGGTTTTGTTGCTGTTGTCGTCATCATCGTATTTTGTTTGGTTGGTTTTTTGGAGGGGTAAGAGGGCTGGGTTTTTCGGTTTGTTGCTGCTGCTGCTGTTTTTCTGTTATGGTTTTTTGTTTGTTTGTTTGTTTTTTTGCTTCGTGAAAAACAAAAAAGCAGTCCTAAGAGAGCCATTTCAGAACAAAGAGGCAAGGAAGGAGCCGGGGAGACCTCTTAGGCTTCTCTTTACACCTCAACATCCCCAAGAGAATGAGGAGTCAGTAAGGAGAGAGGGAGAGACAGGGGTACCAACCAGATCAAGTGCTGATGTGAAAACAAAGCACTTCATCCAGGCCACTGCACCTGGCTAGTGGGCTCCTCCGCCATGGTTTCCATTAAAGAGTGCAGCAAATTCATCAGTATCAGAGGAAGAGAAACAGCTACATTTTTGCAACTGAGGAAGACGGGAGGAAAGAACTGTCTTGGGATGCTTTTTATTTAGCACAGTGCTGGGCACATAGTAGACGCTCAATAAATATTAGTCAAAGAATGAATTCATTTACGCAAGGATTACTTAATTCAGCAGGGAACAAGAGTAAAACCCTGCATAGACATTTCCTTTGAAATTTTAGGCACTTTTCTATTTGATTTATTTCATTTTCACTTTTAAAATGAAAACTGAGTTGAACAATATTTGATGATATTCCTGTTCCTTCTTCCTTTGTGTGTACCTCTTCTGAAACTGTTTTAGACACTTGTTCTTAGCATGACTCTTTTTTCCTCCATACTGCTCTGCCTGTCACTCTGCAATCTTGCTATTTTGCGAGGTCATAATGGCTGCTGGTCATAATGGCATTATGACTACTGCTGGCATTTATGAAGCATTCATTTGATCATTTTAAGTGAGCCACTTGGCAAAATTTCAATATCTGGATGTTGGGAATAAACCACAATTCCTTGGTAGGTTTTCATTTAATTAAATCTGTTGCTAACCAAAAGAAGAAGGCAATAGAGAAGGGTTCATTAGTATGGTCTATGGGAGGACACTGGGGCCTTCAGGAGGAAAGTGCTGTCAGCTTGAATTAGACTGTTATCTCCTGTCACCTTATTTAATGTTTGGCATGAAAACTGTTTTGTTTTCTTTTTGGCTGGGGTTGCACACAAAGGAATGCTACTCCAGATCGGCGTAGACTCTCATTCTGTATGTGACGGATTTGTGTTTTATACCAAAACAATATGGTAAAGTCACTTAAAGAAGCCATTGTAGTCATCTAGAAACACGTGAGTTCCAACAATGACATCAAAATTCAGTTCTCTTTCACAGGGATCTTTTCCTTTGCTTTTTATTCTTTTTTTTTCAGTTTTATTGAGGTATAATTGACAAGTAAAATTGGAAGGGATTTAAAGTATACAGCGTGCTGACTTGACATACGTTTACACTGTGAAAAAATTTCCCCCATCAGGTTAATTAACACATCCCTCACTTCACATGTTTACCTTTTTTCTTTTTAGTGAGAACATTTAAGTTCTACTCTCTTAGCTTCTTTTTCTTTAATGCTTTAGGAATGGTCTTTTGTTTTTAAAAAATGATCGTGTTTGAACTTTCAATAGGAAATAAGACGATTTTCCTTTTGTGTTCCTTTGTGCTCTAGAACTCCTCACCAGACAGCTTCCTGTTTCCTGAGAGTCATTACCTGATCCGCTACCGGGATGAAAGTTTTCAACTTGATAGGAGGGCTAGTCTTCCTCACCTCTGTGTTTTCGGCCTGTTCCGGAGAAAATCCGATAACTGTGCTGTGCTCCATAGACTGGCTCATGGTCACCGTGCACCCCTACATGTTGAACAATGACGTATATGTGCACTTTCATGAGTTACACTTGGGACTGGGTTGCCCTGCCAACCATGTTCAGCCCTATGCCTACCAGTTCACCTACCGTGTCGCGGAATGTGGCATCACGGCCAAGGCAGTCTCTCAGGACATGGTTCTCTACAGCACCGAGCTGCACTATGCCCCCAAGCATACGTCGTCTAAGTACGTGATCCCAGTGTCCTGCACTGCCCCCCAACGTTCCCCGTGGCTCACGATGCCCTGCTCCAGGGAAGTAGCCAGTGAGGGAGCCATCACAACCCGGGATGGTGAGACATGCTATGAGGTGTTCACCTTGTCACAGTCCAGCCAAAGGCCCAACTGTGATAGTCCGCCTTGTGTCTTCAACGAGGAAGGGCAGACCCAGGGCCCACATCACCAAGCAGAGGCTCAGGAGGCCCATCCGTGCAGTTTTCTTCCTTTGTTAGTACTTCTGAGAAATGGTGTCTTCGTCTGGATGATCAGATTGCGTCCATGTGATCCTTAGATTTGGGGTCTCCAGTTGATGCTCTTCCTACAATTGGTATATAATATTTACTAATATCAGACAAATATGTGCTCTTGTGGCCTTCTTATGCGTGCTTTTCAAGAAGAGCAGCCCATGGTAATTCCATGAACAAAGCTGTTTTCTATTTTTGTATCTTTTTTTCCCCCTTTTTTGGCCGTGCCACCCGGCATGTGGGATCTTAGTTCCCCGACCAAGGATCGAACCCACGCCCCCTGCAGTGGAAGCTCGGAGTCTTAACCACTGGACCGCCAGGGAAGTCCTGGTGGCATAAAAATATCAGTTGGGCGTTTTTATTTCATAAACACACACATAGCTTTTACTATGGGCCAGACACTCTTCTAAGAGCTTTACCAACATTAGTGTCTGGTCCCTTCTCTAGGATGACTTCTCTCTCCTTTAAGGTCCCCCAGCTGAATCCCTCCGTCTGTCTACCCATATCCCTGAGACTCTACACTACTCAACTTAGCACTTAGCCACATAATTTCTTAGTTTGATCCATCACTTTTCTGTATCACTTCTTGTCCACGGAAGGCAGAATTTGCACTAGTGATTTATAATCCACCAGTTGTTCTAGGAATCACTCAACTCACATCCCACCAACTAGATGGTAAGCTGCTGAGGCCAGGGGCTAGATCTTATACTTAGCCATAGACTGATAGCACTCTGCAAAGAGTTTTGTCCCCCGACTTATGTGATCAGAAAATTTTCACCCAAGTCTAGCTATCCATTACTGTTCTCAAAGACTCGGAAAGGGAAGGTAAGTCAGTTCATTCAACAAATATTCACTGGGCGCTACTATATTCTAGCCACTGAGGATATGGCAGTGAATAGAAACTGAGGCTCAGAGAAATCAAGGTCACACAGCTAGTAAACAAATAAATAAGTACACAAAGAGAAAATCAGACAGTGACAAATGCCATGACGAGCTTAAAACAAAGCAATATGAGAGAAATTGGAGAAGGAGTCAGAGTGGTCAGGGAAAGCTGCTGTGAATTTGCCATTTGAACTGACTCTTGAATGTGAAAAAGGAGCCAGCCCTGGGCTGATCTGAGAGAGGCCATTCCAAATAGTAGAAGCATCTCATTGAATCCTCACTACAGCCCTGAGAGAAATACTCTTAATATATCCATTTTACAAATAAGGAAACTGAGTCACGGATTGATTAAGAAACTTGCCCAAGGTCACACATTTATTAAGAAGCAGACAATGTTAGTACAATGTACATGACAATATACACAAAGGATTACAGTAGACATTAGTAATTTAGTCATTGTCTTAGTCTGTTTGGGCTGCTATAACAAAGTACTAGAGACTAGGTGGCTTATAAACAACAGAAATTTATTTCTCATGATTCTGGGAGCTAGAAATTTGAGATCAAGGAGCCAGTATGGTCAGGTTATGGTGAGGGCCCTCTTCCAGGTTGCAGACTACATGTGTCCTCACATGATGGATAGAAAGCAAAAGAGGTCTCTGGGGCCTCTTTTATAAGGGCACTGATCCCATTCATGAGGGCTCCACCCTCATGACCTAATCACCTCCCAAGGGCCACACCTCCTAATACTATCACATTGGGCGGTTAGGATTTCAACATAGAAATTGGGGGGAGGGGCACAAACATCCAGTCTATTGCAGTCATGATAGTTGAAGAAGCACAGCTGTTCATTTAAAAATCTCATGCCCCTTCTTGAGGAAAACTAGGTAATAATCCCTGAAAACAATGTATTCATTCAACAAACATTTATTGTGCTCATCCTATGTTCCAGGCATTATGTTAGATGCTGAGCATGCAATGGTGAACAAGACTAACATGGTCTAATCAGGAAGAGACAAGTAAACAAGCCTAGGGAGCTAGAGGCTATTCTAGCCCAGAGAATGGGCCTGTTCAGAGACCTGAGGACTGGGGCTGCGGCCATCAGAGAAACCACAAGTAGTTTAGTCCAATACAATTGGGACGGGGGGCAGTTGACAGTGGTGAGAGATAGGGCTAGAGAAGTAGCAGTAAACAAGACTGTACAAGAGAACGAGCACTGCCCTTCCCCATCTTCTCTTCAGAAGCTTATGGATTATTAAACACTAAAACACGTATAAGTAACTTAGCAAACAATCAATACTAGACATAATAGACCTGGACTACCATGTGCAAGTTGTGCACTTGACAACTTCAAGGCGCAGTATTCATGGAGACACGCCCCTGGGGTTGTGCAACATATCAGCCTTAGAGGAGACTCAAGACCTACATGGTAATGATAGCTGTTATCACGTGCCAGACACATTATATACATGACTTTATTTAATTCTCACAACAGCTCTGCAAGATAGAAATTATTTTCTCTGTTTTATAGACGAGGAAACTGAGGCTCAGGGAAATTGAGGCCAGACAGTTAATACGTAACATCACTGGGATTCAAACCCAGGTTGGACTAGCTCCAAAATGCACTTTCCTCCCCTATACTCAACACTCCCTCCCAGAGAAGAGAAGCTTCCAGTTGGGTTGGAAGATCCAGGAAGATTTCCTCGTAGAGGGGGGCAGTGATCTCACTCTTAGAAGATGAGGAGGAGCTGTCTAAGCAGAGAAGAGGAAGATGGGCATCCTCTGTGAGCGTAAGTACTGGCACAGGGCGTGGAAGTGCAGTGTTGATGGGAGGACACCTAGGGGGTTAGTGCTCTAAGCTAGGTGAGAAGAGATGAGAAGAGCAGATGGGGGAAGGCATAGAAGTGTAGGAAGAGATGAAAATGAACATAATTTCAAGTGAAGAACAAGACTTCGTTCATTTTAGCCTATACAATTGTTAAATGTCTATAGAAACCCCATTCCTGGTCAAGAGATAAACTGAGTCGTGCAAGCAAATTTGGAGTGTGAAAGACTCCAGACCCTAGAGCAGAGAGGACAGGCTTCATGGAGGGCATGAGACTGGAGCTAAGTCCTGATCTGTCTGACGGGATATACGTGAAAAAGAAGAGATTGAATCAAAGAAGTTGTCACCATTTAGAGCCCTAGAAGCTCAGAACACATGGTCAGTTCTGGCTTTAAGTAAGGAGACTGCAATGAGGGTAGAGGATAGGGATGAAGATGAGTCCAGGTTGGACATGTTGAGCTGGAGTTGATAGTGTCATCCAGGTGAATATGTCCAGGAATTAGCTTAAGAAATTGAACTTCATTGAGCTGGAGCTCAAGTAAGGGGTGTAAGAGGCAATTACTGGGAGATAAAGTCTTGGAAAGATGACACGAGTCCAGGCAATTAGGACCAGAGAATCAAAATTCCCTAACATTCAATCTTCAAGGCACGGTTACGAAAAAAAGAAGAGACATCAAAGGAGACAGAAGGGAAGTGATCAAGAGATGGAAGAAATATGACTCGTGGGATTCTAGTGGGGGGAGAGCTGGGTGGGCTAGATTTTCCAGTGCAACAGATAAGTCAAGATGGAGTAAGCCTAGGCATCATGGAATTGGGGGCCTTTGAACTAGACCTTAAATAAGAGAGAGAATTTCATCAGATGAAGATGAAGGGCAAGGGCATTCTAGGCAAAGGAAACAGCAAGAACAAAGATGCAAAGCAATATTGTGGTCGAGAATCATATTTTGCCTGGGTAAACATCTCAGTATAGTTAGGCATAATTTTTTTTCAGCATTCAAGAGTAATCCGCATTTGACTTGGACGTGTCATTACTCAGTAAAAGTGTACTTCAACCATTTCACTTCCATGTTTGATCTTCTCCACTTGATCGCGTGTTTCCTGAGCATGGGAGACCCTCTCCTATTTGCTTGTTTGTTCCTTTGTGTTGCCTTTCTCTTATATAGTACTTGGTGAAGGTATTCAGTAGGTGCTCAAGCCAGTCGACTGATTGGTACTGAGAAAGGGCCTGGGAGTTCATAAGCATAGGAACCACTCAAAAGATGGGAAGATAAAAATGCTTTGAGAGAAAACTGTATTTTGAGTTGGTTAATTTATTTACCTTTTGAAATGCCACTCTGAAAGAGTATTTTCCCCCTTTATTGTGGTAATGTTCATGCCATTTTTTTTTAGACAACTTATTTAGTTTTGGCTGTGTTGGGTCTTCGTTTCTGTGTGAGGGCTTTCTCTAGTTGTGGCAAGCAGGGGCCACTCTTCATCGCGGAGCACGGGCCTCTCACTATCGCGGCCTCTCTTGTTGCGGAGCACAGGCTCCAGACGCACAGGCTCAGTAGTTGTGGCTCACGGGCCTAGCTGCTCCGCGGCATGTGGGATCCTCCCAGACCAGGGCTCGAACCCGTGTCCCCTGCATTAGCAGGCAGATTCTCAACCACTGCGCCACCAGGGAAGCCCCATGCCATTTTTAAAGTGATGTGATTTATAAAAATCTACCACATAGTGTCAATTATACTTGTGATAATAAGAAATGCTTTATTGCCCTCAAAAGAAACAGGCATTTTCACCTTTCTTTCAAGCTCTGGGAGAGCCAAAAATGTCTGAAACCATTTGTTATGATAACTGCTTGTCAAATATTTAAAAATTAGAGCCATAATGTGATTTTTCACTGATAAAAGGAGACTCAAAGTAACATTAAAATTTTTATTCCTATACCCTGAAAACAGCAAACCAGGTTTAAAAAAAAATTGTGTAAAGTATATATAAATGTCAAGGGCAAAAAGTCTTTTATCCCTAGTTTTCACCAATAGGCCATTTTGGAAATACATATAAGTACCTCCATCCCTCCATTCCTCCACCAATAATGAAAGCCTGGTCAACCATTAAACTAAACACAGTGTGTTCTCTCTCTCTCACACACACAGGCACACACACCATGTTTATAAGAAATACATTATCAAGGAACAAGTGTTTATTATAAAGGGAAGGCTAACCCACACAGTAACATCCTTTAATTCTTTTTCTCTCTTTTCTTTAAATCTAATTAGTATTAATCCCTATGATTGATCTCTATGATATCCTGTTTAAATTGTAATTATAGTTGTTTATTCCCAAAAAAGAAAGAGAGGGAGAGAGACAGAGACAGAGAGAGACAGAGGGGGAGGGCTTTCAGTCTTGCAATTTTCTACAACTTTTTCAGAAGAAAACAAATGATTTGGTCAGATTTCAGCTTATAAACTTACATTGGTTATGCAATTACAAGACTTTCTGTATTAGCTATCTATTGCTGAACAACAAATTACCCCCCAAACAGGACTTCCCTGGTGGTCCAGCGGTTAAGACTCTGTGCTTCTACTGCAGGGGGTTTGATCCCTGGTCAGGGAATTAAGATCCCGCGTGTCGCACCGTATGGCACCCCCCCAAAAAAAATTACCCGAAAACAACAACCAGTTATTCTCTGACGGTTTCTGCGGGGATCCCTCTGGCTCGGGGTCTCTGAGGAGGTGCCGTCAAGTTGTCGTCTCAAGACCCAACTGGGGTTGGAGACCCCGCTTCTAGGCTCACTCAAGGGGCTGTTGGCAGGAGGCCTCAGTTCCTCTCTGTGGGCCTCTCCATAGGCTGCCGGAGTGTCCTCATGGTAAGGAAGATGGTGATGATGATGAAGATAGGAAGAGGGCAGGGGGAAGGGAAGGAGGGGAGGGGCAGAGTCCAAGTTAGAAGCCACAGGCTTTTTGTATCCCAAACTCAGAAGTGACATCTCACCACTTCTGCTATGTTCTATTTGTTAGAGAAGAGAGTCTGGAGGTAGAGCTCCCACACGAGAAGAGGGGATTACACAAGGGTGGGAGCTCCAGGAGGCAGGATCACTGGAGACAATCCTAGAGATGACCTTCCATCTGATCATACTGGCAAACTCCACAAATGCGACATTCTTCAGTTTATCTGTGTAAATACAATCAGTGGCAGGACACAGACTGGGTGGAAAAATAAATGATATGTCACTGCCATACCCTTGTCTCTGTCTGTTCTATTTTCCTTCTCTGGGGAAAATAAGTCCTACCAGCTGCAAGTTACAGGACTGACTGATTGACCGGTGAAAAGTATTCCAGGGGAAGCTTCTATTTATTTTTTCTAGGAGGACATTGCTGAAGACATTTAAAGCCAAGGGGAGAAAGTGTAAAAGGTAAATCAAATAATATAAAAGATGATACTGGGTAGAGGTTCTAATGTTACCTGTATTAGTGATCATATAAACTCTTTCAACTATCCTCTAATGGACTGTAATTCAGATCGGACCAGCCATCTCCTAATGTAACTCAGAGTAAGGGTGGGGGGGAACGGAATCTGTGTCATATGTGTGTATATGCATATACATTTATATATATATATATATAAATAATATATATGGCATTATTATCCAGCTTCAAAATCGAGGGACAGCGTCTTTTCTCATTGATTTATATATATATTAATATTAACACAATGCTTCCCATCACTCACTACTTCCGTTTGTTTTGCTTTGTATTTATCTAATCCACAACCATCTGGCTTGGCCATTGGTGAAGTCCCTGTAACTTACCTGAAATCAAAGTAGCTCCCAGAATTATTAAACAGCAGGAGCTGAGGGGGCTAACAGGGTCCGAGCAGGTAGGGGATTGCAGGAGGCTTCATAAACAGGTTTCTGGAAGTGAAATGACAGACATGCCCTTCCCTGCCTGGCTCTGTCAGCGTTCATGTGTAGATGTTCTCTGACAGGTGAGGGGGAATTGCTCTGGGTCAGAGAAATGAATGCTAATACCAGTTTTCAAATGTAAATGAACATAAAAAAAAAAAATCCCTGCCAGCTGTCTAGAAACTTACCATTCCCCCCTTTGAAGGCACTTATATTCTACAGTTACCAGGAGGAATATTTAAATGACTCAAGTTATTTTCAATGTTATTTTAACTTTGTCACACTCACCCTATTATATAAACACCATGCTAATGTAAATTATTCACCTTTTAAAGTTACTTCAAAATTTTTGACTTTTAGCCAAAAACCTATTTCTTTCTATCAAGAATTCTTTTGAGTTGTAAGTCTACAACTTAAATACACACACATCTTTAAAAGTTTATTTTCCAAGTGATGCACATAGAATATTTATTCTGTTTTCTAAAGTGCATTTACGTGACAACTTACTGAAAGAACGCCAGTGTGAGGAGAGGAGAGACAAGTCCTAAAGCCATAGTGAGACTGGTTTCTTTGGGGTTAGAGAAACCCCGGTCCTCCCCACTACCAAGGGTAGGTCAAGTTGGAACATATTGACCCAAAAGTAAGCCCCAATGTCATTCTACACCAACTCCCTGTAATAATTTATAGTTTGCAATCAAAATAAAATAATCTCTTCAAAAATATGGCTTTTATGATCCAAACTACAAATTAATTCTCGTGTTCATTTCATATTTCATCTGCTTAATTTCTGCTCCACTAAGGTATATAGAAAAATCACACTCTTCTGACTATAATCAGAGGCACCTAAGCTCTAAATATGTTGGGATATTTGGGTTACAGCAACTACAGCGAATATTTAAGTTGCCCAAGTTGCTTTCAATGTCGTTTTAACTTCTTGAAAATATTTAATTACAATTTTTTTAAACTGCCCATGAAAAATAACATTCTCCAGTTTGAAGCTCTGCCACCCCCTCAAAACGGTTACCCTCAGTCCAGAAGATGTGTATTTCCATTCCTCTGTTCCATCAAATCAGCACGTGATG